CTCTGCCTTAGTCGGGGACTGCAAGATACCCAAGAATCTACCCTGGGACTGCTCTGATGCTGTCAGTCAGACACTTTGCACTACAAGCACAGGGAAGTGAACTGCACTAAAGTAACCATGCGCAGCATTTATTGTGTCCTGGTCAGCGAATACGATCCCCTTGGCTATATTATCCCCTACACCACAAGAGCAAAATTACTGGTGCAGCGTCTATGGGATAAAAAGCGTGATTGGGACAATCCACAACTGCCTGAAGATCTGCTCAGTTTATGGAATTCATGGGAGAAGGAGTTGTGTGAGCTAGACAAGATAACACTGCCAAGATGCTACTCCAGTCTAGACATGGATGTACCAACTAGCAGACGAGACGTACATGTATTCTGTGACGCATCGGAGAAGGCTTATGGGTCTGTGGCCTATTTGAGGACAAAAAGCACAGAAGGACAGGTTGAAGTTGCCTTTCTAGCAGCCAGGTCACGTGTTGCCCACCGAAAGCAACAGTCTATACCTCGCCTTGAACTATGTGCAGCTCTTAGTGGTGCCCAGCTCTCCAAGGTCTTAGTCACAGAGCTCACATTACCCATCTGTTCCCTAACCCTCTGTTCAGACTCCATGACTGTACTTACCTGGTTATTGTCAAGTTCTTGTCGTTACAAGGTGTTTGTGGGAACACGAATAGCAGAAATTCAAGAACTCACAGCTTCTGCAAGCTTGCGATACATATGATCAGAGGACAATCCTGCGGATAGTATCACAAGAGGAAAAAAGCTGTGTGACCTAGTCAAATGTAACCAGTGAAATCAAGGCCCCTCATTTCTTAAGCTGCCTGTAGAGACTTGGCCAGAGTAGCCATCCTTGCCTGCTGAAGAGCAGCAGCACGAACTAGGGCCAGCTGTGTTTTGTGGAGCAATTACAGTCACACCCTTGCCAAATCCACAGCAGTATGAGACAATGACTGAGTTCATGAAAGCATGTAATCAGCAGCTATACGAGGCGGCCAACATTACATGTGCTGATGAACAAAGAAAACTGGAACAAATTGTTCTTTATCAAATCCAAACTGAGTCCTGCCTTACTGAGATGGCCCAACTAAAGTCTGGGAAACCAGTATTAGGTACAAGCAGATTGGCTTCTCTCTCTCCCGAACTTGACCCTACCACTGGTCTCATTCGGGTAGGTGGCCGTTTAAGACATCGCACAGAAGCAGAGCTGGACTGTATTCACCCCATAGTCCTTGACTCCCACCATCCTGCAACTAAACTCATTATTAAAGATTATGATGAGAAGCTATATCACCCTGGATCAGAACGAGTGTTCGCAAAGATGAGGAGAACATATTGGGTGTTACGAGGACGTGAAGCAGTTCAGAGACACCAGCTTCAATGTGCAGAGTGTCGTAGATGGAAAGGGAAACCAGAAGTTCCCCTGATGGCAGACTTACAACTTGCAAGACAACAGCTCTTTAAACCTGCCTTCTTCTCAACATGGATGGATTGCTTTGGACCTTGCCTGATTAAGATCGGATTGAGAAATGAGAAGAGGTAGGGTATAATATTCAAGTGCCTCACGACCAGGGCAGTGTATATAGATCTGTTGGCCAGTATAGATTCTGATTCATTCCTAATGGCCTTAAGACGTTTTATTGCTCGACGAGGAAAGCCATACGAGTTGTTAAGTGATTAAGGCACTAACTCTAAACTGTGGAGAACGAGAGTTGAAGGAATCTCTTGGTGCCTTGCACAGCAAGCTCCAAAGTCATCTTGCCTCCCAACAAATTAAGTTTGTCTTCAATCCACCAGGAGCACCCCACTTCGATGGATGCTGGGAGAGAGAAATACGTTCAATTAAAGCAGCCCTCCAAGTTACACTAGGGGCACAGACTGTGACAGAGGAAGTTTTGAGAACAGTCTTAACCGAGATTGAAGGGATACTTAACTCAAAACCGGTCAGCTACATATCAACAGACATTTCTGATGTAGATCCAATCACTCCCAACTGCTTCCTCATTGGCCGCAGAGATGCCTCACTGCCCCAGGTGGTGTATCAGGACTCAGGAGTGATAAGCCGACGCCATTGGAGACACAGCCAGCTGTTAGCCAACCACTTCTGGAGGCATTTTTTTAAGTACTATTTGCCTAGTCTCCATGTTCGGCAGAAATGGAAAGCAAAAAAGGAAAACCTGCAGGTTGGGGAAATAGTGATGATTGTCGATCCTCAGCTCCCTCGAGCTCTATGGCCAGAGGGGAAATTCGAGGAAGTACATCCAGTACATACAGTACACAGTTCTGACCGGCTGTCTGCAGGGATTCAGATACACTCGAATTAGTGTTAAATTAAAACCTCAGTTAGATAAACAAAAACAAATAGTTTTGAAGAAAAATTTGCTGTCGTTGAACCTGAGAAAAACTTTGAGAATAATCATAATAATAAATTCTCCATACTATACTAATAATTATAATGAAACTGCGGGTACATATCTTTATTAGTTAAATTCGGCTGTATTATTTGTGTCCCCTTCAAAAAAATGCTCGAAAGAAATTTTATATTTATTGTCTCTCCCCCCCCCCCCCCCCCTACTGTTAAATCAGATTTACGCCCATGCCTGTACCATTGATACAAGGCAGGATGAATCCACACTTTTGTGTTGTTGATGCCAAATTCTGACTTGATCATCTGAATGTTGTAGCAGAAATCAAGACTCATCAGACCAGGCAATGTTTTTCCAATCTGCTGTTGCTGTAGGCCATCTGCCTCAAGGTATGACGTGTTGCGCATTCAGAGATGCTCTTCTGCATACCTTGGTTGTAATAAGTGGTTATTTGAGTTACTTTTGCTTTTCAATCAAGGTTCAACTTGAACTAGTCTGGCCATTCTCCTCGGACCTCTGGCATCAACAAGATCAGCAGTTTCTAAAATACTCAGACCAGTGGTGCCGTCTGGCACCAACAACCATGCCACGTTCAAAGTCGCTTAAATCACCTTTCTTTTCCATTTGCATGCTCGGTTTGAACTGCAGCAGATCGTCTTGACCATGTCTAAATGCATTGAGTTGCTGCCATGTGATTGGCTGATTAGGAATTTGCGTTAATGAGCAGTTGGACAGGTGTACCTAAAAAAGTGGCCGGTGAGTGTATACTGTATATATGTGTTGTGTTTGTCGCCCCCTGGAGGAGAAAGAAACAATGACGCAGCTGAACTGTCCCTTTGCCGCTCTGAAAGCAGAAAAAGAAACCACAGAAAAAACTAAATGGATCAAATCAACTCAATTTAAAGCATACAGATACTACCACCAAAGCTGAGCGATGGGGAAGTGCATTAGGTGACAAATGAAGAAAATGCAAAAGCTTACAGCACCTGGTGTTCCCAGGCGGTCTCCCATCCAAGTACTAACCAGGCCCGACACTGCTTAGCTTCCGAGATCAGACGAGATCGGGCGTGCTGAAGGTGGTGTGGCCGTAAGCGTAAGATGGACAGAAGAGCGACCAATTTAAACGTGCCATATAATGTGATGATTCAATAGGCTGCATTATCTACTTATTTTTCAGACCTACAGTAATAGTTTCTGTTAATAAACGCTTTATTAATTCGACTTTCTGCAGTTTTCCTACAGTTTATGCTTTGTAAATTCCCGATAAATGAGAATAAAAGGCTTAGTTCTATACTAAACAGAAAAAAGAAATGAATAACCGATTCAGAAAAAAATGCATGTTTTAAGAATAAAAAAAATAAAACTTCACATAATCAAAGTAAGGCAAGGCAAGTTTAGTTTAATCAGTGTAAAAAAATACCCCGCCAAATAACACTGAAATGTTTTTGTCATTATGTTGTTAAATTAGTATATTGTTGATGTTTTGATGAGTTTGAAGATATAATTGCAAAAATGTATTTTTCATACTGATCCTTTATTGTCATGGGTTACAAAGCTGTAGGAAGTTTTTATCATTAACATACAGAGTGACTATTAATATTACAATAATTCTGAAAATGTTCACCTTAGCTGGTTTGTAAATAATACAACATGAATTTAGTATTGAAATAGGCTATATATTAATATAGTTATTGTTAAATTATGCACTATTTGTGAGTGCTTAATGAATTATTCATAGTGTGCAATTATTAAAGTGTTACCAAGAGATAACTATAGGCTCTTTTTTTTTCAAGATGTAGAAGTCCAACAAGGAAAGACCCTTGCCTGAATTGAACAGGAATTGCCTGAATTAAACACTACAAGCTGCATGGACTTTCACTGCCTGTTCTGTAGCTCAGTTTTTTTAGTCAACAGTTGAGCAAAGTGAGAATCCACTTAACAAGCAGTTCGCTATCTCTGGGGAAATCCTACTTCACGTTCAGGCTGTTCTTGTCAGAGGAAAAGAGACTCGTGGACTTCATTGTAACGTTACAGGGGTTTGAAGAGCATTTGGTGGTCTTCAGATGTATTCATCGTTGTCTTAAGTGTATTAATTTTCTGTTTTTTTTTTCTTCTTTGTACCATTGTTTGCCTGTAGAGTGTAGCATACCTCTTATAAGCAAACAAGGGTCTGTCTCAACAGTGTGGAACAGCAAGACATAGCCTAAAATAATTATATTTAAAAACATTCACACATTGGCTAATGTTAGGCTGCGTGTTAGACAAGCACCCGCAAATGCAGACATGTTAAGATATCTTTTAACAAAGATAAAAAAAAAAAACATTTAAAAATCTGATATGTCCAAACATAATAACAATAATAAAATGGTAAAAATTACCAGTGAGGTAGGCTATACAAATAAGTACAAAAATCCAGTGCTGAAAAATATAAATGTTACAGGTTTCATTTTGAATCATGTTTATTTTCAAATTCAACACCAAACATTACATATATACAATCAATCATTTTAAACCACATAAAAGAGAGAGAGAGAGAGAGAGAGAGTTTAGGCCAATATCGCATAGAAAGTTGCCAAAGTTGATTGTAAGCTGACTTTAACAAAATAACAAACCCGTTTCAGAGGTGAAATTGTCCTTCGTCTGATCAAGTGGTCCTGAACATTTCACAATCATCAAAAGAACTGTTGAACTGTTGAGAACCACTCGGCCAAAGAGGAAGCCACATGTTAAGTGGAGAACAGCAGCGATCCGGGATCCTCGCTCGGTACCTGCCTGGAGGAACACACATGTCAAGCCTGAGATGAGTCGCTTTTTAAAGAGATCCTTCCACAGAGAGCAAAATGCACATCTCTTTGCTGAAGCCCGGTGCTTTTATAGAGAGCAGACGGTTGGGGTCTCTTTCAGGGCGGCGTGGAATGATGATCTTGCCGGTTGGACTCGTCAGAGAGGTTCTTAGCATTGCGTGGGTTAGTTCACCCTAAACCTGCCTGCTCGACCGGTTAGAAGTGAGGTAGAGAGCACACCTTTGCTTCTGAAAAACCCCACTTCTTGCACCATTGTCGATTTTACCTTATTGAAATAACTTAAATTAACCGATTTACTGAGATTCTCCATTGAAATTGATTACAAAAAGGAAAAACAATGCTTTTTTCGTTCATGAATCTAGGTATGAAAAGAATAGGCGTATCGAACGAGTTTAAAAGTGTTTGCGCTGTTTTCTTGCTTTTTTCATTCACGATTCCAGTTATGAATGGTATTGTGATTGCACACATAAGCATACCAAACGGGTTTAAGGCTGTTTACAATGTTTTCTTGCTTTTTTCATTCACGAATCCAGTTATGAATACTATTATGATTGCACACATAGACATGACAAACGAGTTTAGACTGTTTTAAACAGAGTAATTGAAATATAGACTTTAACTAGGCCTATTGTAACAAATAAAATACAAATGGGCTAAATGCATATTATTAGGCACAGTAACGCATTTGTTCATCTAGTTAGAATATTTTTTATTGCTTTTGATTAAACTAGACAATTGTAATAAAAACAACATTTGCAAAGTTATTTTTACTAACGAAATCTTAATTAGGGATAAGTTGTTTTATCTATCAGGAATATATAGAAAGCCCATGTTTGTGACCTTTTCCGATTTAATTGACAAACGTTTTGTATACTTTAAAGATTTAAGTAACAGAAATAAAATGTAAAAATCTGGGTGAAATAATGTTACATTGTTATTCATCATAAATTAGTATATGTGTGTTACTTATTCTAAGAAAATAAATGTTCACACAAAATGTTATTATATTTCAAATGATGACAACATTTTTGCTGATAAACAGGTAAAATCTAGTTGCTTGCAGTATAATGTCAAAGTATAAAGATTTACAAATGAATTAGAATAAATCATCAAATGATTCTTGTTTTAAATATCTCTGACAAATTTTTTAGTCTAAAAACTTGTTACACTGAATACATTTTAATGTCATCTGCAAACCATGGTTTAAATGTGTAATTATTATTCAGAAAAGGTTTTATTGTTCTGATGTTTGAATAATAAATAGTCTGAACTATTTATAACAGGGTTTCTGCAAGTTAAATGTAAGACTTTTTAAGACATTTTTAAGACTATTATGATGAATGAAATTGTAGACTCCACAGGGCTAATGAATTTTTTAAATGGCCCAGTTGGAAAAGATTTTTATTTGCCCTATCAAACTTTTTCTTACAATTGAATAAATGTAATAATACAATAATAATAATTTAATAATTAAAAAGTTTTATATTTTAAACATTGCTAAAACAAGCAAGCTCTATAGTACCCTTTTTTCAACATAACCTTTCTTTAAATTTTTTTTAAAGGTTTTAAAAACTATAATAAACAATCTATGCACAACAGTCTGACCAGATCAGCTTCCTCAGCAGTAAATACATGGAGAACTTTTAAACAAATGTTATTGTGAGGAAAATAATTAAACCATTGTGGTAAATAGAATTAAAAATATATTCTTAAATAATAAGTATAAAATGTTATTATTTATTTATTGGATGGGTGTTGGCCAGATTGGGTAGCTATACGTGAACAAAGAAAAATTAAGACCTGTTTTAGAAGATTGAAGACCTACAAGACAGTATTTCAGAAATTTAAAAAAATTAAGGCATAAAATTTATTTTTGAGATTTAAGACATTAAGACCCTGCGGATACACTGTAATATATATTTTTTCTTGACATTAAGTGCTGACTCACTCCTTTTTCATCCAACAAGGTGAAAAAAGAATCTATTAAGTATATGTTAGGTACTGAAAAAATAAAATGGCCTTAAATATGACAAGACGTAACATAATACATTTCAATTATAACATGAATTCCTTCACATTATAACATGTTTACCAAACGCATATCTATTTTTCTCTAAATTACAGAGAAAATGTGTGACCACGGAATATGAATATGAACACAGAAAGGTTCAAGAGGCTTAAAAATAGCCACTTCCTTAATGTTTAAGAGTTTAAGGGCTCAAAGTTGATGCCACCTTATATCTGAAAGGAATCTCTCTGGATTGTAAAAGACACATGAATGCCATTCTACAGGATATACTAGTAAAGATGCCATCCGGTAACATGCAAAGACTAATCAAAAGCTGTTTTCTACAGGGCAGACCTGTTCTCTGAGGTCACACTGAAACTAGCCAAACTGCTGGCATTCCTATACACTTTCAGAGGAACAAACATGATGTGGCCTATAATAACTTCAGAGAGTTTTTTCAATGCTGGGTTGATTTAATCCAAATTTGGGTAAATAGACACAACACAACATGTGTCATGGATTTTAATCCAGCCATTGAGTTGGTCGCTACAACTTTGCACTTTAAGTTAATATAGTGTTAAAACAACCAAGTGTTTACTTGAAAGTGCATACTTTAAAATTAATTAGAAATAAGTATTATTAATTTACTGATTGAGGATGTGAAGTATGATGAAACAGTTCTTTAAAGTGAAGAGAAATACTCAATAACAATACAATAACAACTTAAAGTAATATTTAACGCATATGTATTTATATATTTTAAATATCTGTTAATTAACATTTTCTGTCTTTTGTGATTCACTAGTGTTTTCCATTTATTTATGGTTGTGAATTGCATTATGGGATGTTGATCTCTGCTCTGTTCACTTTTGATGTTGACAATTGAACTCAACAATTCAACAAAGTGACTTATTGACATTTTCTTAAATAATAAAATGTATAGGAAATAATATATAAAGAAATAAGTCTGACATGCTTCCTATTTTGATGCCTTTGGGGTGAGAATGGGTAGAAACATATCACTTTAAACTATTAAAAATAAGCATATAAAAACAAATGGGAAAATATAATAACATTTATCACAAAATAAGGAAAACTGTCAATTATGAATACTTATATATATAAATGAAGAGTTTAGATGCAAACACCTCTAAAAGCCATTTGATATTTTCTTTTAAAATTAGTTTTTTTTTGTCCAATCTTGTGTGTAGGCTCAGTAACTTTATATTTATAGTGACAGATAAGTTCAATTAATTTCTAATGAAATAACTGAACATAAACATAGCAGGTTGAGATAAATTCTCATTTTAGGAGAACTTATTTAGAAGCATTTAGAAGTTTTTGCATCTGAACTGTTCATATATATATATATATATATATATATATTATGTGTAGTCCTAATTATTACCCCCCTTTGATTTTTTTTATATTTCCCAAATGATAACAGAGCAAGAAATTTTTCACAGTATTTCTGATAATATTTTTTTCTTCTGGAGAAAGTCTTATTTGTTTTATTTTGGCTAGAATAAAAGCAGTTTCTAATTTTTTTAGGAACATTTTAAGGTCAAAATTATTTGCCCCTTTAAGCTATTTTTTTTTATTTTTTAGTCTACAGAACAAACCATCACAATACAAAAACTTGCTTAATTATAACTTAATAAACTTGCTTAATTATATATATATAATTAATTAACCTAACTTGCATAAACTAATTAACCTAGTTAAGCCTTTAAATTTTGCTTTAATCTGAATACTAGTGTCTATCACAATAACTACAAATACGTATATACTGTCATAATGGCAAAGACAAATAAAAGTAATTGTTAGAATCTACTTTTAAAATATGTTGAAATAATATTTTCTTCATTAGACCATTGATAATATTTGAAAAACCATTTCATTTTACTGGAGGACTAATAATTATTTGGCCTTCAACTGTATACATAAACACATGCACAATGGTAGAAACTAAATTACATTTTTAAAAAGTCATCATCTAAAAACTGTAGGCTATGTGTGTGTGTGCACGCTTTTGCACGTGTCTAAAGCTCACAGTGATGTCCATGTTTTGGCTGAACTTGCTGGTGCGGTAGAGCTAGTTCCGGTGGTAGCATCAGATCACATTCCGCTGTTTGTTTTTTAAAAGCCACACAATAGAAAAGTGTTTGCAGGCCAAGTTTTAACAAACAAACCAACACTTTACCCCAATAAGTCTCTCTAGCCCACTATCAGTGTCTTGAGAATCCCAAACTAACCTACTTTCAGTCTCATATATATACAAAATATATCGATTTGTTTCAAAAAATCTTTAGAACAGGCTAGCGAATGACATACTGTATAGCAAAGCTAGAAGATGATACGTGCTGTGAGACTCCATAAATACCCGTAAACACTGTTTATCTTTTCTTGACTGATTAATATCTTAGGCTGCTAAGCAACTGTAAAAGTATCAGAAAACAGCTATAACAAAACGTATCATAAATGAAATCAATGCAGTATCTGAGAAGTCATCGTCAGGCGATAGAGAAATGGGAGGGAGATGAGAGGAATGCTGTCTGTGCTGAACTCAACAATGGCTCCTCCGCATTCTTCCTCTCTGAGAAACTCTGTGACATTTTTAGTCTCTGTGAAAGATCTGTAGTAAAAACGGCTCTTTATAGAGTGTAAACGTCAGATCTGGTTCGTTCACATCTTCAACTGTTGAGGTTCAGCAGCTTTCCCATATTTTGGGATTCATAGGTGTTTTGCATTTGTTTAAGCTTTTGAAATTCATTATGGGGCCTTGATCTCTGCTCCATAACCTTTGATGTGGAAAATTTAATTCTGCAATTTAACAAAGACTACTTTATGAACGTAAATATAGATAATATATTGTTTCAAACTACTAAAAAAGGAAAAGTAAAGGAAGGATAGCCGTGACGTGGCCAAGTATGGTGACCCATACTCGAAATTTGTGCTCTACATTTAACCCATTCCAGTGAAAACACACAGCCTTGAACAAAAACACACACCTGCATCAATGATCAGCAATTTCTGTGGCTCTAGAGGAGCAGTTGGGGGTTTGGTGGTGTGGTATTGAGGGTAAGGACCAATGGTTATTCACTCCCAACACCTCCAATCCCTGAAGGTGCAGGAACTTGAACTTGCACCTTTACAGGTACACAACCTGCACATTAGTGATCATTATTCAATATCATTTAAGGTCTTTATACATTATCTAAACCAAAGATACTCTAGTGTGAATAGAAATTGGGTGTACACAAAAGCCCCCGAAACAGCAGATCTGCACTTTAAAGGGAACCAAAACACAATTTTTTGAGATGTTGACAGTCATATATATGTCCCTTGCTAAAACACTATTAGGACACATATATTTCATAGCGGGGAAATGGAAACAAAACCTTTGTTGCGGCACATTTATAAAGGCAACACTGACGACCCATGTCCCTGAACAATTCTTCTTCTTCTGCTTGTTTGAATTAGGGTTGGCAACACAACGTGACGTCTCTCTGAATACTGTAAAAGGTAGAACATTTTCAAAAGGATCTTATGGCTGTGAAATAGCTTCAAACTTTCTTTTCAAACCAGAAGAACGAATTAGCTTGAAAGAATGAAATAAAATAATAATTTTACACTTTTTAGTTAAATATATGTGTCCTAATAGTGTTTTTAGCAACAAGTGACACATATATGACTGTCAACATCACAAAAAATGTGTTTTGGTGTTTCATGACTCTTTAATTTTCATAAACCATGATTACAAACATGATTCATAGAATTGTTTACAATGATGATTTCATTGTGTTATGAAGCATTAGGCCTACTCTTATTTGCAGTATGCACATCTTCCTTACAAATTTGTATATCCAGTTATAGTTTACTGATTTAACTTTTTTTATTGTTGGGGCCATAATCTTATGATTGTTGTAGTGAGAGTGTCAGCACCTAATATTCCTACCAAATTGACTCTAATATTTTGGGGTATTTCCATAGAATAGAAACATGATTTTATTTTAGACCTTTTTAAAGTTTTTTATTACTTATAAGTTTAAATCCCTCATAAACTAATCTAGCAACAAGAATAGTTAGAAATACTGCACAGATTGTTTGTAGCGCAGCTGTCCGTTTCTCTCTGTGGGACAAATTTATCTTTTAATACTGTATATCTGCTGTCAGGGGGCAGTGATGAAACTCTGAATGTGCCTTGGGTGTAATTAACCGATATTTGTGTGGACTTCACCACTTGAGCACCCTGATGAAATCTGACAACAGCGAAATAAACATACTAATAAAGAGCATTTAAACAAAACTGTTCCCAGTGGGGCTTGTCTAATTTGTTTGGATGAATGATTGTTGTTGAGTTCATCTTCAGAAAAGAGAGTCTTGTGTATTGACCCCTTGGCCTCAATTAATCTCGTTAATTTACCACAGAGCCAAACATTTACCTGTCTGCAGACCTATCTCGAGGTTCTCCAGGGCTTTGAGAATATATATCTCCTCTTTAGCATGTCTCTTTCACCCTGATAGTCAGACTGTAGTTCATGACTAGCATGAGCGCACAAACCCTCTCCGCAAACGCCACCTTTTCCAGCATTCAACTATCAGTGGACTTCTCTGAACCAGGGCACTATTTTCTGTTTGCTTACCACATTATTTTCGCCACAAGTGCGGTTCTGCTGGCTGGATCGGTGGTCGTGGCGATCTTAAAAACGAAGCATCTTCGATCCCAAAACAGATTTGTGTTTATGCTGAGCACAAGCATGTGTGACGTTATCACAGGCCTCTCTGTTTACTATTCGGGGCTTTTTGACGTTCAAGAGGGGTTCCCTTCTAGAAACGGAACCTATAATATTTTACCATCTTTCCTCGGTGTAAACCTTGTAACATTTATGTTTGCTCAGTTTGACAGATACGGTGCCGTGTGCTTTCCTTTCATTTACAAGCGCTTCATCTCGCGCTCTCTGGTCATCTGTATTTGCGCTTACTGCTGGTTTCACTGCAGTGTTCTGTTTCAGCTTATGGCGAACTTGATTCCACCTTCACTGGCCAACAAGATATTCGCCTTCAGTATTGCCAGTTTGCAGATTATCGTTGTGACCAATGTAATGATGACGATCAAATTGTTCATTGTTGCCAAACGGCAACTTGCCCGAGATCCGCCAGGCGCGGAGAGAGACGGCAAGGCGGAGTCCTTAAAGATTATTATAGTTGTAGTCATTACTTTTTTAATTCTGTGGTACCCCGCGTTTCTAAACATAATTGTGAAGCAGGTTTCTAAATACGGCCTTTATTTTAAAAACGACGGCACGAGCATTTTCTTAATAATGGCTCGTTTTAATGCCTTGTCCTCCCCGGCGCTCTACGTTTGGGGCAGCCCGGCGTTACGCACAGCTGTGTGGGGCATCGGCTGGTACAAGATTTTTCCACGGTGCTCAAAAAGGTAGCTACAAGTGACACTTTTCTGAGGACGAGTTTAAGTTGCGAGTAGGCCTATTACCTGATCAAACTAACACATTATTCTCTTTTTCTTTCTCCTTATCCAACAGAATTGGTGTTCATCACGGAAAAGGGAAGACAACAGCAAATCCTCAAAATAATCAACCCAAAATATAGTGAAGTTGTCTTTAATGTATGCCTCAAATCAACATAATGTAATTGAATCGCTAAAGATTAATTTAATATCATGCGCATGCACTTTTTGTTCAATAATTATAGTAAAACGCGTACTATCTAAATGCATTAGACACTTAAACGAGTTCTCCTAATTAAATGTAGGCTAATTGTAAGTAAAGAGACAAGCGTTCGTATATAGCTAATTACTGAATAACTCATTCAACTTTTTATACATTTTTATATATTTCTACCTGGGGGAAAAAAATAAAAAAAAAAAAAATATATATATATATATATATATATATATATATATATATATATATATACACACATACATACACACACACACACACACACACTATTTTCTGCAAAAATTAAATTTGCACATTTGTTGAGTGTGTTGTATTAATATGATGTCACAGCAGGGTTACAGTTTGTTACAATTAAAATACAGATTTACATTGGCTGTAATGCATATTTGCAGCGACGTTTGATATTGCTTTACATTGCCTATATGTTTGCTACTTGCGACTTGCATTGAATAGGTTCGAGTGATACAATGTAATTTATTCAGTCTCTTAAGAATAATGATTCCAATATAACAAGGTAAAAATATATATTATACAAATTATACAAAAAAGTAATCAAGTAGCCACTATGTAACTTTTTTAAATAGACAATGTGACTTCACTAGTCAGTATCATATATGATTTAGCACGAATAATAAATGAGTAAACCTGACATAGTAGCAATTTCCTTTTTTAACACTTGATGGTGACAGAGACAACGAAACTGCGAGTCCATACACAGACTGATGACTGTACAGCACTACAGCTTTACAAAAGAATAGGACACACATTTCCGATTATTATTTAATTCAGGGGTGCCCAAACTTTTTCTTATGAAGGGCCAAAAACAAACTTGATTGAGGGCAGTGGGCCGAAAGTAAATATATCAATCTGTATTACAAGGTTTCCGTGAATAATTTCCTTGTTAATTCAAAAGATAATAATAAAAAACATTACTTTAAGCATATTAATTAATCCATTGTATATTTTTTTACATTTTATAATGAAGCTATTATAATGAAAACATAAGAATTTCATTTATAACATTATAGAGTTTAATGCCAAATACTCTAGTCAAGCTGCACCTGCCTTCATTTACAACATTTAATTGAAACATTTAAATCAAGTTTTTTGTAGTTTAAAAATAAATGAACAAATGAAAGGTTACGTTAAATTAGAAAAGACAATGTGTATTAAAACAATTACCCCAACCCTTCCCAAAATTCTCCCTCTCTTCTCAAATGGCATGACAAGCCAAATAAAAGGTTACAATGGGCCAACTTTGGCAGGGCATTTCTGATTTAGTCAGACTGACCTGCTGTAAGTGCTAGAAAGATAATCTGCAGGAACAAGAAAATTACAGCGATAAAACACAATTTTATCTACTTTTATATATAATTTTACTAAATCATACAATTTAACAGCATAACAAGCGAAATAATTCAATCATTTTGTCAATTTAGAGTAGCTTATGTTTGCAAAAAGCATAAATGAGAATAAACAGTAATTGATAAGAGAATAAAGCCAGCATAAGAGCAATAATTCAGCTTTATTTCAAATGTACAATAAATGCAGTAGTTTGTATCGGTAGCAGAATTTATATGTCACGTCTGAGTGAACTTATTGAAACTGCGACTTCTGTTAAAAGTGTGTCCTCATAACGCTTTACTGAGCCTAATAAATGCACAGCTGGCTTCTTAAAAGATACAACACAATTAATCAGTCTTCTTATGCCTTAATACTGTGAAAATGAGAGTGAATATGAACATGTACAGCTTGATGAAATGTCTGAAACAAGAGAAATATTTTAACCCTGCTCCATGACCATATATATATATTGTAATGACTCTAACGACTTACTCTAATCTGTGATATATGTTTTTTATTAAAAAATATGTTGATGTTGAGGGCTTATTTCTGCTCTCAGAAAGTGGTTCATGCAGTGCAAATGGATTACTATGTATGTTGGATTAAATCATGGCGTTCCTGTTGTACACATAAGAACTCCTCTGTAAAGGATGACCAAGCAGAAGCTCCTTCTCTTGAACTAGACTCTCTAGCAGCTCCTGCTGTCGGTGGTTATGGTAAACCTTCAGGAAGGCCAGCACTGTTAGACCTAGCCAGCATAACCAGGCCGACCACAGGCCAAACTGTGAAACAAAGAACAAATTACATACTTGTATAACTGATAATGGATATAGACGCTCATGTACAGGCTAAATTATATACTGAGAGAATCAAATATGTTACTTTGTAAATATGTTGTAATACCTGTGCAATGGCAAACTGGTCATAAAAAGATGAGTTTTCAACGCCGAGCTCTAAATCTGTGTCTTGTAGATCTTCACAGCTGACAAAAAAATAAAGACAGTTATAGGAGATATAATAAATAAAATGTGACTTTGTATCATTAGCTAAATTACACTATTATAATACTCTTAAGTTCCAGTGTCAAGAAAATAAATATAGCGCCGTTTTCAATAATCATCATTTCAAGTGAATCAATTATTTTTTTGAAGTTGTCCTAAGACAAGAATGGGTGTTGTTCAAAAGTTTGAGGACCACTTTGATAAAAGGTTTTAATCCACTTTATATGTTGACTACTATATTTATATACACTGTAATAAATTCCCAGAATTTCACATTACTGTAATTTTTCATAGTACATGACATTAGTGTCACATTACAGGATTTAACTGTTAAATTTTACATATTCAGAATTTTATTGTGAAATTAAGGCAGGCATCATGATTACAGCAAATTACTGTAAAAATGGCAATATTTTTTGCACATTAGTTACAGGAATTCAAACACTTAATATTTTATTCAACATAAAAAAGTAATACACATTAACGTTTATGCCAGTACAGGCACTTTTTTGATATTTAGAAATATTTACAGAATTATTGTTATTATCATGTATCTCACAGTAATTCACTTTGAATTTACATACAGTATCTTGCGGTGAAAGTAATGCAATTATAAGCCAGTAATTTGTTTTATTTATTTTCCAGTGTATATAAAACCTACAAATACAAAAAAGTTTATATCAATATTTAAATTATAATATCGAATTTAATATATATAATGAAAATGTCTAAAAAGGTTTTCTGACCCAAAAAATTAAACTAATATGGGGGATTCTACTTTAATTCTTAAATCATTGTCATTTTTTATTGTTATTGCCATTTTCTAGTTTAAAAAATCGATACGCTTTAGTTTACTCTTTGCAATACACAAACACATCAGTAGAATTTGATACCACAATATGCATCTTTGTATCCACAATCGGTTTATCTTTTAAATCATTAAAGTACAGTTTTAAGAAATGGCTATTAATAATCAACAATGTGAAAACCAGTTTTTTTTTCTTTTTTTGCTTTTGTTCTTGTTTTCTAATTGTTCATTTAAGTATTGTTTATAGTTTTATTTGTATTTTATTATTAGTATAGGCTTTTAACAACTGGCAAATAAACCACTAATGAAAACTTTGGGCTAAATTGGGTACATTTACATTCGTGGGGAATGTTGAGTACGCTGTCCCTTGTTGTGGAAAAATAAATAAACAAACAAAAGAATTTGGCCTTTGACTTTCTTTTAATTTACACATACTTAAGTTAGAAAGTTATAACCAGACAATATATCCCTATAATCACCATTGTGTGCAACAGAAATGCAAAAATAAGTAGGAATATAAATGGCAAGAATATTTCAATCCTAATAATTTAGGCATTCCAATATTATTCCTTAAGGAAAAATATTAATTAACAATTATTATTATTATTATTATTATTATTATTATTATATGAAATCTCATATTTACCAAGGAGCTTTATATTTTTATATGCATAAAATATGCTGTATTTGTATAAGTACTAAATTTAGTTTACCTGCTAGGCATTGCTCCATTCTCAGTGACAGAATCACACCATATACTGAACCCAACGCTGGAGATTGTACCGGCCACAAACACCACAAATAACACTAACAGAGAGAGGAGGAGGTTCAAGAAAGAATGGAAGAGGGAGCTGCAAAAAAGGGGGACAAAAAAAGAACAATTCACAAAGCGTTATATTGTGATTTTAATCATCATTATGATATGCGTGTTGCCTACTCGTCGTGGCCTTTGCAGAGGAAGAAAAAGGTCCGCCACGCCTGCACGGCAGAGAGGATGAGAGACACGATGCCCACGAAAGTGATGAAGCGACAGGATGACTCTGGTCCCCATTCTTCAACTATAAAGCGCTGTTTCCCCATCGTCATGTTCTCATTTTGCCAAATCCCCTCAGTAAACAGCAGACATTTCCCCTGGAAGTCATCGCCGTTTTCAGAGAGCGGTACAACGGCGATGAAACCGAAAAGAAATGCTAAAAAGTAAAGGATGCACTGGCCGAAGAGAAAATTATCGACGGCCATCGTTCCCGGCGACTGCATTCTGCTACTGCGCATGACCGTGAATGTTGAACTATGTCGGATTTATGTTATTGGACGAGGAGTAAAATGTCTCCACTGCATGACTGAGGATTGTTTTGATAGCACCGTTGCCTTAATGTGATCAAATATGATTTTACTATAGTAGTAATAATAATAATAGATCAATACAAGGTTTTATTGTGCATTAGTAATTTACAAATACAGCAAAAACAGGCAACAAAAAAATCTGAAGATAATTGAAATTCAAATAAAAAAAAAACACAAAACAAAATATAAGCAAGACAATTACAATCAGTCATAATCTAAGAGTAATCTTTGATTTTGAGCTTTGTCGAGAAAAACAAATTGGTCATTAAAAATAGTTGAGGATCATCTTCAGACTTATAACTTTACTTTCCTTTCAAGATCTGGAAAAAGTCATGCTTTTATCACATCAGCCTAGACTATGTGCCAGCTTTTTGCCAAATCTGGGCCAGAATTCTTTGATACATGGGTTACAATAGACAGCTTTTACATTTTTTTTTACAGTTTTGAGAGACTTCATTAACAGAAAAAGTTTGTTGACAAAAACCTTGTATAAAAGAGAGGATTTTGAAAGTCTTCATTTGTGGGTGAAGAATTTACCATTTAAAATAAAATTAACAAAATTGTACATTTTTATCACCATTTTCAATATAACAAATAAATTCTTTTGCATTCATGTTATCAAGAAATTATTTTTAGCAGACATTTTTCCAAAAAATTGCACACTCTAACATTCAACAAATAAGTGACATAAGGATTCCTTACTTTTTTTCTTTTTTTTTTTTTTACAAAATGAACATTCTTTCTCAATATCTGAAAATCTGAGAAACAATTTGGTTGGATATATTTTATGTAAAATCTTTAAATGTATTTCTCTTACTTTATTTGAAATGCAAAATTTGTATGGTAGCAGCCATGCTTTTTTCCAATTAACCCATTTTTTTCCATTTTATATGGTTCCTTTTACAGCATCAATGTTGTAATATAAGTAAAATATAATCAGTTAAAAACATGTCAGTGGCACAAATCCAGCACAAACCAATGACACCAGTTTTGGGCGATTTAGAGGAAATAATGGAGTGAAGAGTGACGTTGCAGTTCCCAAAGTGTTTTGATTAGGTAACATCTAAACGAAAAAATAGATACACTGTGTATGTTAACCGCACAAACCAGCACAAACATATGACACCAGTTTTGTGTGATTTAAAGCAGGGGTTCTCAACTGGTTTGGCCATGGGACCCACATTTTTACATGGTCATCAAGCCGCGACCCAAATTTTTAGGAAGTTTAATACAATTTTAGGAATTATTTAATAATTATTATTAATAATAATTATTATTTATAATTAAAATTAACAATATTTTATTGCTGTCATTTAGCAAAATGTATCAAATTATAGAAATATTACAAAGTAAAAACGACAAATACTGTAAACAGTGGTTAGGGTAAGGAAAGGTTTGGTTACCATAAACTAAACTGAACTGTGAATAAAACATGTTGTCTGGTTTCTTAATGTCATTTTAATTTAGAAGGTTTTGTACTGAAATTTCACGTCAAACGGTAGGGTGGTCGTGGACGCATTTCAAAATAAAAATAAAAATGAGTTAAAAATTAAAAATGAAAAAAAATTAAACTTCTGTTGTTGTTTTTTTACCACACACTGAATACACACTTCCCGCGAGCCAAATTGAGAAACACTGATTAAGACAAAATGTGGTGGAGAGTGATATCACAATTCCCGAAATATTTTGCTTGTATCTAAACGAGGAAAACAGATTCAGTGTTTGTTTTAACGGCACAAACCAGCACAAAATGAGCACAAACAACCTGTGCTGATTTGAAGTCATTTGAGCAACATGGTGTGGAAAGTGATGTCACACAGTTCAAAAAATTATGCTTAATATCCGAGCCCAAATCAGCACAAATGTTCATTTTTGCGGTACAAATCAGCACAATTGTAGCACAAACGAACACCGTAATTTAAGGGATTTTTTTGTTTTTATGGGGTGCCAACTTCACGGAGCTCACAGACCTCATGCTTTGGGTATAGTTTAACTCTTTAACTGTCCCACTAAGAAAAAAGCAATAGAACATTTTTGGATTGCATTTCTTAACTATTAATACTGCTAGTTAAGCTAACACAATGCATTTATTTTCTAACATATCCCATCATTTCTGAAATATCCAATTCTACCAAATACATGATATGTTGGTTTATGGGAAAAGTACCGAAATGAATACATATACTATGAAAATCTGAAAATATAAAGTGTAAGACTAATTTATTGAAAAACATGATCAAAATAAATCATGTTGGACACTAAATAATCATTATTTATTCACACACACACACACACACACACATATATATATATATATATATATATATATATATATATATATATATATATATATATATATATATATATATATTATTGAATATTTATATTTATTAGTATATATAATAAAATAATAATTGATATATAAAGTATAAATCATATAATAACTGATATGATGTGGGTGTGGAAAGACTGATGTTATTGACTTGGGATTGGCCCATATGGCATGGAGGTGTTCTGTTAAATCCTTGGGATAAATAGATTAGGTGGAGGTCAATGTGAGTCTGGACGGAAGTCGCTCTAAACACGCTTCTCACCGCTTCTGTAGTCCTTACATGAAATATGCACAAAAAAGGAGTAATTATGACAGTGCCTACAATCAAGGTCCATGGATTACAAGGCCATATGAGAATATATGAGATCTGAGCAGGTAGGTTAATAGCATTTTATGGGTTGTAGGAAGAGCTAATAGCTAATGCTCTTCTTTAACAGCTAATGCAATGAAATTTCAACATGTATCTAATTAAATATAAAAAAATTATATATTTAATGTATAAATATAAACATATTTTTTTGCACAGAAACAATACTAACTGACATAAAGCCATAAATGATGAAAGACTGCATTTATAGTATATGCAATATGCAAATTGATAAACCAATGACAGTAAAATATGTACATTTTAATTCCTAAAATATATTTTCAAAGGCAAAGAACAACAAAGCTTCTGCATTAAATTCAACTGCTAATCCTTCAGCAAATATCGGAATATTTGTAGAAGTGTAATATTTACAGATAAATTGTATATATGTATCTATTAAATGTCTGTCTTCATAACATGCAAGCAAACTGTGAATTTATTTTGTGACATTTTCATCTTGATTTCAGTACCTACGCTATTATGCAGCTAAGGCCATCATCCAGGAGGGTAAAAATACCTCATCTAAGCTGCTTACGTGGCTCTCTTGGCCTTCTCTCCCAGTTCGCTTCCCTCCTCCCTGTGGAACATGTTCCTCGTCCTCTCCCAATTACCCAGTACGTTATATCATCCTGAAATAAAATGAGTTTTACGACCAGACATAAAAAATTACAGCGGATACGGTAAACTCGACACTTTCCGTTGACAATGGCCGTCTTAAAAGTGACATTTACGAAGACCAATAGAGACAAACTGGCCCAGGTTTTATGGGTTTTGAACTGGGTGTCTGTGGTGACTGGAGTGACGCTCTTCAGCATGGGCTTGTTCTTAAAGGTGGAGATTGAGAAGAGGCGGGAGCTGATGTCAAAAGAGATCGACTCGGTGCCAAACATGCTTATCTGTGTTGGCCTGACTGCATGTGCGATCAACTTTTTGGGGGGAAAGATCTGCTATGACTGTGTGGATACAACCAAGTTCCTGCGATGGAAGCTGCTGATGCTGCCTTACATCACATGTACCTTTTTCTTTACGTTCTGCATCCTCGTGGGTGCCCTGATGTGCTACAGCATGCGCAAAGACCTGGAGGAGTCCCTGTATTTTGGTTTGCGAGATGCCATGCGCTACTATAAAGACACTGACATGCCGGGACGCTGCTATATTAAGCGCACTATGGACATGCTGCAGATGCAGTTTCAGTGTTGCGGTAACGGAGGTTACAGAGACTGGTTTCACATTCAGTGGATCAGTAACCGCTACCTGAATCTCAGCAACAGTGATGTTGTGGAGTAAGTCCATCTCTACCTTCATTTATTGGTTTGTTTTGTTTGTTTTCCAGGCATTGTTTTCACTAAACATTCTTTTATCATTTACTTGTTCTTGTGTCATTCCAAACCAATATGAATATCAATATACAATTATAATACAATGGTCAAGAGAGCTCAAATGCACTCCAAGTTAAGAAAACACAAGCAAATAGAAAAACACAAACAAATAAAACAAATAATTAAGAAAGCATCGTTATCAATTTGATAACACACACACACGCAAATTCCAACAAGACACATGCATAACGTTCCAAATACATAAACGTTCTGCTAACAGTGCATATCACAATGGAAATGTATCAGGGGACCCAAAAAAAAAAAATGATGAACTCATCGGTGCCAGTAGCCAGTAGACATTTAGCACTGATGTGATCATGGTGACGAGTTTGATTCCTGGCTTGGGGTCCTTTGCCGATTCTTCATCTCCCAAGGCTTTTTCTGTCGGAATTCTCAACTGTCCGATCATAATAAAGGTGAACACCCACCCCCTCCCTCCCCAAAAAAAAGATGAACCTGGCTGCTTCCTGTTTAAACCTGGCACACACCAAGCTGATGTCAAAATACTAGTGGTGGTGAAAACTGACTGTTTTGACTTGTATTGAATTCAATAATTTAGTTTGCTTAGTTTTGTCACTTCATCTAAAGCAGTGATTCCCAAAAGTGGGGGTGGAAATTCCAAAAATCTAAATTCAATTTATTAAACTATTAGAATTACCATATTTTATCCGAAACCTACTGAAAAACAAAATAGTAGTTATTGGTAACATTGTTAACATGTTAATAATAAATAATAATAATACAGCTATCAGCCTTTCAAAATTAGCTTTTTATTTTGTTGGCGACCCCTGGGGTGATTGCGTTATATAAAAGACACTGCAATAGTGTGAGATGCAGCAAACTGATATTATGGAACACGATTTGCTGCATTCACGTACATCAAAAATTAATACAGGCCACAATTAAACATTTAGGCTGGTTTCCAAATGGCGTTATCCAAATTAAACGATGAATAGACTTGGGCCTATTGGTATGCCTGCACTGTTGTGTGTAAGGTTTATATATTTATAATCACCTCAGAGAGTATTGGGCATCGCGAGGTACTGGCATTGCTATTTTGAGGCGTCGCGGGCTAAAGAGTTTGGGAACCCCTGTCCTACAATACATGCTGAATTAGGCAAACTTTCTTAGACATGAGCTCTATGTGAGGTGGCATGTGGAACACACCAAACACATGGGCCCGACAGACACTCACGGATGGCCGAATGTGGGTTTAGTGTGTCCCGGCATTCACAGTCAGCGCTGTTGTCAGAGATGAACCAAAAAAACTCACCTCTCACTTCTCCCACAATACCACTAACACATTTCCGTGGTAAAGCGCACTATTTGCAGAGTGTTTCTAGATTTGCATGTGTTGTTGGAATTTTCATGCTCATGGGTTTTAAAATTGATAAAGATGTTTTCTCAATTTGTTAGTCTATTATTTGCATGTTTTCTCTTAACTTGCAGCACATTTGAGCTCTTTAGGCCACCATACTATGACAGTGTATCCCCTCAGGGAGGTCCCGGCCCACAAGGGGGCCTCAGCGAGCTCTGTGGGAAAGAGTCCCTGACCCAGTAACAGTGCATTATCTGCGCCAAAGTTCTTGCTAACAAATGCATGAGGCTGTCCAAATTAATAAGACATTTGCAGACAACTCATCCACAATACTGCATGGTGTACCTAATTCAAACGGCCAACTGATGTTTAGCTTTTATATGATACATTAGGCTATTATTTGAGCATAAACATATCTAGATTTAGTAATAAACACACTGTTAGTTTGAAAACAATCTTATTTTGTTATACCTACTGTAAGCTTATATCAGCGATAATATCATTAAATGTGGAGGGAGGCCTTACAATATTTTCTGGGAGAAAAGGGGGGTCTCAGGCAAAAAAAAGGAACCACTGCTATATGGAATACAGAAGGTATTTTGAAGAATGTTCCGGCTGGATTTGTCTGTACAGTAAAAATCAGTGGGGTCCCAAATAACACCATGACTGAACCTCACACACTTTCATAAACTAAGAATATATTAAAATTCAAACAGAATAAAAGGAGTCATTCAGATTTGGAACAACACCGGGATGTTTAAATGATAGAGTGTATTTTATTTTGTATGTACTCTATTTTTAAATGATCTCTTTAAACGAGCTATTTGTTTAATCTAGAAACCCTTGTTTTTAGTAATACGGATTACCATTAAGTGAATGGTAATACACCAATAGCTCAACCTTCAATATTAGACAGATCACATTTTATTTTCTCTTTATCATCTGTCTATGCCTCTTTGGTTTATTCAATGCTTTCTGGTCCTCTCAGGCGGATTCGGAGCAATGTGGAAGGGAAGTATCTGATAGACGGGGTGCCGTTCAGTTGCTGTGGCCTATATTCACCCCGGCCCTGCATTCAGCATCAAATCACCAACAACTCAGCGCACTATAATTACGACTACTTGAAGGAGGATCTGAACCTGAACCGACGAGGCTGCCTACAGGCCCTGCTGGAGCACTACACACAGATCATGCAGTCCATCGGGTTAATCGTTCTCATCATTTGGCTTTTTGAGGTGTGTGATTTTGATTTGACTCATTTTAAACAAATTAATTAAATCCAATTCATCTCTATTCTGAAAAATGTATTGCATTCTGTACATTATCAGTTAAGGGTGTATTTGATATAAGAGATCAAGAATACAACGAAGACTGTAACTTTGGTACCTGCCTTCAATTGTTTTGCTTTGTTTTCTAAATTCAGATCCTTTAGTATCTTTAGTGATACACAATCCTCAACAAATTATTCTAATATGCTGATTTGACGATTAAGAAATGTTTTATTATCATATTCTGTTGACTGAACCTGTGCTGTATATTATTTTTGTGGAAACTGGGAATAAAATAGAATGAACATGTTTAGTAAAGATCCATTAAATTGTGTTAAAGTGATCCTAAATACATAAAAACTTTATTATTAAGTATTAAACAAAGAATCATGAAGATTTACCATGATTTACAAAAATATCCGCATGTTAGAACAAAATCTGAAAACACTGAAGCCAAAGAAATGACTGGTAAAAAATTCTAAGTAAAAATCTTAGTTTCTCAGAAATTTTGAATTATAGTATGAAATATTTAGTTTTAACCTTTGAACTACTGATTCTGTTTAATCCAAAATTGAAATAAAAATGTGAGATTTTAAGCATAAAAAAGGTCAAAATAACGAACATTGTTGTCAATTCTCAGACCGTTTTATCTTTAGATGAGTTTAGGAGATAGATGTTCATCATACTTTACTCTCTCTCATGTGGTTTTAAATCTTTATGAGTTTCATTCTTCTGTCAAACACAAAAGAAGATATTTTGAGGAATGCTAATGGCTGAGACCCATTGAAAAAAAATACTAGTCAATGGGTCCCAACAACCAGCATTTTTCAAAATATCTTCTTTTGTTATTTAAAATTAGATTATTTTGGGGTCAACTATACCTTTAAAAAAAATCTGTGTTTGTTGGAATAACCTTGATTTTCATTCACAGTTAATGAAAATATAATTATTTTGGCTAATAATCATTACATATTAATCCTCAATTATAAGGACTACCTGATGGCCCGGTGCCAGAGTGAGAGATGCTCAGGACAGTAGACAGAATCGTTAGGCTGCCTGCCTTGCGTTGTCTTAGAATCGAGAAACACTTTGTACTTATAAGTATTTAAATGCTACCTTTTATATGAAGTCGTAAACACCATATTGCTGTTCATTTCCACTTATCTGTTTGGATGTTGTATGCATGTTATTTTTTTCCATAACCAGTACATTGAAGAGAAAGCAACAGGACGACAACAACAAATTATGAGGCTAATAGAAAATGTCTGTTTCTCACATTGTGGGTACAACACGAGAAAAAAATGAAGTGATGTTTTGCATAGTTTGCCGTCACTTTTAAGTCAGCCACCTTTTGTTTTGCAATAAAATACCTGCACATTTTCCATACTGCTATATTTTACTGCTAAATGTTAAAACATTTCTAAAATATTGAAATTCTAAATTCACAGATATTATTTTTGACACATTATTTAAAATATGTGGCTAAAAATAGCAAGTCGCTTTTTTTTTCTTTTCTTTTTTTTTTGCTGGGGCCAGTAAAAATTTTGGCAGGGCAAGTAAAAATCTGAACCACTAGTCCAATCTGGCCAGAAGAAAAAAGTGTTGATCTCTAATTTATACAAAAAAAAAAAGAATATTATCAAGCCATTACGTAACAATTTACTAATTTGCTAATCTTAAAAATGAAATGTGACACTCTTTTTCCCTAAATGCTGTTCTCTTGCTGTAGGTGTCTGTGCTGACAGGAGTGCGTTATCTTCAGACAGCCATGGAGAACGTGCTGAGGCAGGGAGACCCTGACTGTGAGTCTGACGGCTGGCTTCTGGAGAACAGCATTGCAGACACTGCACGCTATAACTTCAACATCATTAAGAACCTGGGCAAGTGCTACCAGGTGGATGACGATCCCAACATAGACGTACCGAGCACCAGCCGGCAAATGCAAGAGAACGTGCCCGTAAAGCAAATCCCTGAGGCCAGGTAGTAAAAGAGACACTGAGACTTACCCAAGCCATTCCACAATGGCAGCCTTGGAGAGGCAGATCAAGCTCTGCATTGCAGCCTTTGACCATTTACTTGAATCGCACAAAGCGCAAAGGAGGTGAAGAATGACCTGGAACATAAAAACAGGCTGATAAAGGAGATCTCAATTGAAAGGCACTCATTGCAATGTAATCCTTGTGCCATACAAAAGGAAGAGAATGAAATATGCATTTTTAGAAGCTGAAGGAAAAGCGACAGACAGATATTTACAATATTTAATCAATCAATGTCAAATTTACTTGGATTTACACTTGTGAAATGGAGTAAATTCATTCAACTGACATGAATAAGTTAATAACAGCGGCTATAAACAAAGATGGTAATGGATGACAAGCTTTCGCGTGCCTCTACCCTGTAATGAAGATTATTTTGTCCATCTTAATATTATCTGAATGATAAACACATTTCAAATTAATCTGAAAAGGGTTTGATTATAGGCCTTTGTTCCATTACTAAAGAGGTATTACCATGTGTTAAGCATAAAATGCCTTTTGGGATCCAGCAAGGATCTTTTTCTCTCTCACTCAGTTGCTTCATTTGTTTCGTCGTAGGTCTATATTTAGTTTCTCTGCTAGTCAATCATACATCTATTGCTTTGGAGAATTTCTGCATCTGAAAAGGATGAATTTTGGCTTAGGCACATTTTTTCAGACAATTAATCAGTACAAACATTGACTTCTGAGCTGCAGCACTGTGTTTAATATACTTTGAGTCTACACTGTCTGTTTTAAACCCATTGTGTGTTCTGTCTGGTTATTGTGACATTATTTCTCACAGTTGCTTCGTTATATTTGGTGTGACGCCTCAAATTAAAGGAGGAAAACAACAGCTATTTTCCATATGCAAAAAAAACTGCATACCTCTAACAGGATAATTATCTTTACAGGGTAATTCACCCAAAATTTACAAGTGATTTTTTTTCTTTCATAAAAATGGAAGATTACTACCTGAAAATATTGACCTTTGTGATGTTTTAGGGACTTTTAGAATAAAAAATTATAACACAGGCATAAATGAACACCAGTAACTCCTGAGGGTACAATGAGGTCTTATGAAGTGAAAATGATTGGTCTGAGTAGGAAGCAAAATTTTATTTACAGCCTTGTTACCTTTGCATGCTCCCTCTGTATAATAAATGTTTTCTGTTTGCATTTACAATGGAGAGGGAGCATGAATGCTCATTATAATATTAGGCCTACTTGTGCTTATCCTGGATGTTGCAGCCTATATATATAGGTTGCAATACAGGGGAAATAAGTTGAACCTAAAATATTAAAAGTAATTATTGGTAATAATGGTCTTGCATAGACCGATTGCAAGACCTCAGTGAATCATCAGTGGACCCTGTTCAAAGACTGTTCTGACGTGTTTACCAGTCTTCATAATGGTAAATCCTTATAAGTTAGTTTAATATCTAGATTTTTTAAAAAGTATGAACATTTACATGCCTTTATGAGTGTATTATATCATCTTTGCGTCAAGTTACAAAAAAACAAATTACCGTTTATCCGAGGTGTTTCTAATGCAGCGTCTATGGGGCTAAGAGTATATTTGACATTATTTTCTCCTCTGGCTGCCGTCATCAGCTTCACACTATTGTTCTCTTTTACTGAAAGTCTTGATAACATCCTCGTGGTATTTTTTTTTCCTTTATTATTTCAGCAAATTGGATTGTAAAAAATTATTTGTTGTACTCTCCCCTTCACTGCACTCTAAGTTTACCCAACTATGATGACTTCTGCTGCTGAGAAAGCCAGAAATGTAAAAAGGGTTTATAGCCACAGGTATTTTTTTTATTATTTTATTTTAGTTTTTTCAGGGTTTCTACAGGTTTCATCATGATCATGTCAAATTTAAGCCTTTTTAAGACCTTTATGTATGAAATTTCAGACTTACAAAAACCAAACGCTTAAGATTTGTTTGTAATGGCCCAGTTAAAACATTACAATGTTATCATAAGGAAGATAATCAAGCCATATTGGTAAATAGAGTTAATAAACTTTTGTTAAACTTTTATTGAGATGGAATGTTTGATTGGACAAGTGTTGGCCTGATTGGGTAGCTTAACATGGACATAGAAAAATAAAAACCTACAACACATTATTTCAATGAATTTCACTTTTTAAGGCCTAACATTTTGATTTGAAATTTTAAAAATTTTAAGACTGAGCCTCCAGAAAGGCTGTAAACCTGGGGCCTTGTATCACATTCATTCGTTCTGATGTCTTCCACATACTTCAGTTTTGACATCAGGGTTTTGTTTTGTTTTGTTTTGTTTTTGGCTGTGTGTTAAAACACGTCACTTTTTAAAACATGTTTGACGTGAATGCACTTGTAGTAAAACGTGATAATGCCTGTGATTAAATCAGTTGCTTTAACGTTACAAGTGTCTTTGTATTTGCTGAGGCCCTCTTTTCTGGACAAGAACTGTTCCAAACCAAATCCTCTGAATTAAAGAGATTGGTGTGCACTTATCTTGCAGTCCGTCACCGTGACCGAGGCACGCATCCGATTAACAGCGGCCTCTCCTTCTTGGATTAAAAACAAGTCGACTAGACGACAGCACAAACTCAACAGTGTCTGGCCGTCTGCTCCTGAAATCAACGTAGAACATTGTTGTCACGTGGTACCGTACATGTTACTTTTCTCAGCGCTGGTAAAAACATCCAAAATGGGCCAATCGCAGCCATTTGTGATTACAAGGACAATTTATACAAACATGTTTTGCTTTTGGAAATATTGTGTTTATTATATTTACCTAGGTAAAAATATCTCAAATAAAAATGTCTCAAACCTTAACGCTTTTATAAATTATAGTTTCATGATAATTTACGTGCTAAAAGTACAGGTAACGTTAAAACAAGCGAACAGTAATTGTGTGGATTACAGTGGTTACTCGTGTACATCATATTAACAATTGAATAGGCAATAGTGGGATATTCATATTCGTTTTATTTATTTAAAACTACCATTTATTCAAATATAAATCATAGGTAGTAAAATAAATTGTAATATTTTATTTTCCCCAAACATGTTAGTTGACAAATGGCTGTAGAGATTTGGAAATAAATGTTACGCAAAATCGCAAATCATAAAATTACGTTTCCCCCTTGTGCGATGTAAGAGAAACATACGTAAACTGCGTAAATCATCGCGTATGGGCAAGGGGCGGATGTTGCGTAATCTGCGTACGTTCGGTTTGTTATTGATGGCGACATGACGTGAACCGTTAGACGGTGTTGTTGCTGTGTTTGCAGTGAATTGTTTTGAAACAGACAACATATCTGTACTTCTATAACTTGGATTTTGGCACTGCCTTCGAATCAGACATTTGTACCGTAAGAAGTCTGTCCTCCACAACGTTTCGGCGTTCTTTTAGAGTGATTGCAGGTATGTAGAATCGACTGTAAGTGAATACAAATGAATTGTGCAACATTTCTTTTTCGTTTAAAACCGTGTTGCTATATGTTAGCGCAGTCTACTGAATATGCGACACAACCCTTAAAGGAACATACACTGTAAACACGCCTCCTGTCACCTCTGAGAATGTTCACGAGCTCTATTGAGAAAAATACACACTAATCAGTGATCTCCGTTTGATCGATGCTATTTGGTTGAACTTAGCTGTTATTTAGAATGCACGAATGCATGAATCATACGCACGTCTGATTGCGCTTCTAGAATCATCAGAGGACATTCTCTTTTATTCTGGCTTAGACTATTAAAACAGCGAAGTATTTTACAAAGACCAAACGCAACCCGTGTAATATGATAAATAAGATGATGATAATGTAATAATATGTTAAAATTTCAGTTTAAAGCCTGACAATCAGATCCTTTAAAAACAAAAGTCGGTCAACTGAGGCCTTCATTGTGGGCTCTCACACCGTGTATTGCTTGTTATGTATTATACTGCACAGATTTGCCTAAAAACTAGGCAGCTGTTTCTAACTTACTGTACTGATGTTGCCTCTAAATTGCTATTGTGATCAGAGGCGGATTTAACCAATAAGCTAAGCGACCACTTAGGGCCCCAGGAAAACTGGTATAGGTATAAATTATACCTATAAACTATATAATGTTGTTTTCTATCATATTTTGTATGGTGAGAGTCAAATAAAAGTTTAACATAATTAACCATTTTTTAATATCAAACAAAACGTAATACTATTATAATAATGTAATATGTAATACAAATATTATAAAAATATCAATATTACAATCTGCACAAATTTGTCCACCACCCTTTATCATTGATATTTATATCAAAGGTTTAACTCAAAACCTTTTTATTAAGCTATTGTGTTTTTTATCACCTTAGAAAAGACTGATTAACGTAATTCTTTAAAAAGTCTTTATTCAATGTTCTTGTTAAATGTTGTTGTTCATCATTATTTGCTGTGAAATCTTTGGCGATTAGTATAAAACAACTGTGTATTGGTAATTATATTTCAAGATGAAAATTTATGGAACTAAGCAATAGTTACTTGATTATCCATTTAAGATTTGCTCAAAATGATGTTATTTTAAATCAAAAATACAGTAGGTCTTTAAGGAACTTTTATCAATACATTTCACAGCCACCGTTTCATTACACTACATTTTCTTTTGCTCCCCAAAATTAACCCCAAAACGCTTTCTAAACCAAAGCTAAGCATTTAAATAATATATCTTACCAAGAAATATTATTGAAGGGTATAAATTGACAACTGATACTTAATGCTGTTTAGTCAAGTTGTCTGTTATATATATATATATATATATATATATATATATATATATATATATATATATATTTCATTTACATGACAAAACTATTAGAATTGAATCATAGTTTTTGGCCATGAAAAATGCATCTGAACAGTCATAGCTTGTGATCCATGTTTCAAATATTGTTCAAATATTCAAAAGGGTCAATGGATTATATCAAAGACTCTAGAATACACATGCCTTAAAGGCACTTTGATTATATACACTCCCCGGCCATTTTATTAGGTAGACCTTACTAGTACCGGACCTTCTTTTGCCTTCAATTATTCTCAGGAAATATTCCTAGAAGATTTTGGTCCATTGTGACATGATAGCATCACGCATTTGCTGCAGATTTGTCGGCTGCACATCCATGGTGCAAATCTCCCGTTCCACCACATCCCAGAGGTGCTCTATTGGATTGAGTTCTGGTGACTGCAGCGGCCATTTGAGTACGGTTAACTCATTGTCATGTTCAAGGAACCAGTCTGAGATGATTCGGCCTTTAAGACATGGTGCATTTTCCTGATGGAAGTAGCCATCAGAAGATGGGTACACTGTGGTCATAAAGTGATGGACATGGTCAGCAACAATACTCAGGTAGGCTGTGGCGTTGACACAACGCTCAATGGGTACTAATGGGCCCAAAGTGTGTCAAGAAAATATCCCGCACACTATATCGTCACCATCACCAGCCTGAATCATTGATACAAGGCAGGATGGATCTATGCTTTCATGTTGTTGATGCAAAATTCTGCCCCTACCATCTAAATGTTGCAGCAGAAATCGAGACTCATCAAACCAGGCAACGTTTTTCCAATTTTAGTGAGTCTGTGCCAAATGTAGCCTCAGTTTCCTGTTCTTAGCTGACAGGAGTGACACCCGGTGTGATCTTCTGCTGCTGTAGCCCATCCGCCTCAAGGTTGGACATGTTGTGTGTTCAGAGATGCTCTTCTGCATACCTCGGTTGTAGTAAGTGGTTATTTGAGTTACTGTTGCCTTTAAATCAGCTCAAACCAGTCTGACCATTCTCCTCTGACCTCTGGCATTAACAAGGCATTTGCATTCACAGAACTGCAGCTCACTGGATATTTTCCTCATTTGCAGAACATTCTCTGTAAAGCCTTGAGATAGTTGTGCATGAAAATCCCAGTAGATCAGCAGTTTCTGAAATACTTTTACTTCAAAGTCACCTTAATCACCTTTCTTCCCCATTCTGATGCTTGGTTTGAACTGCAGCAGATCGTCTTGACCATGTCTACATGCCTAAATGCATTGAGTTGCTGCCATGTGATTGGCTAATAGAAATTTGCGTTAACAAGCAGTTGTACAGGTGTACCTAGTAAAGTGGCCGGTGAGTGTATATAACAGTATATTGTTGTTTCAGGTGTTAGGCTTTACAGGGTTGATTGTGTGAAATCTATAGCAGATAATATTTATGTTTCATGACAATTAAAAAAAAAAAATATATATATATATATATATATACATTTTTCAGAGCATCATGAAGATGGGCTTCTTCACCCTCTTGATCGAAGCATCACTTCTTTCTGTGTCCGTTCTTGGGCAAACCACAGATGTTGAAGAGCTTGCCATCAAGAATGCAGACTTTGCTACACGGCTTTACAGCAAGATTGCTAGCTCAAGTGATGACAACGTGGCTGTTTCAACTCTCGGGGCTACCTTGGCCTTAGCCACATTAGCAGCCGGGGCTGGTGGAGCTACTCAATCCGAGCTGCTCCAGGGTATAGGAGTGGACTCCATGGTGAAAGATGGAGAGCAGGAAAGGATTCAGAATATACTCCAGCAGCTGAGGGAAGACGCTGCTCAAATCCCGGCCACTGGACTCTTCATCAAGCAGGACGTCAAGGCTGATGACAGCTTCAGCAACCAGGTTAAACAGTATTATAATGCAGATGTCCAGAATGTGAATTACGCCAATGGACAGCAGGCCAAAGGAAGTATTAATGATTATGTCAGAGGCCGAACAGGAGAGAAGGTCAGGGATGTGGTGGAGAATGTAGATCCACAAAGCATGGCGATTTTAATCAGTGCTGCTTTCTTCACAGGTAAGAAAAACAAAGGAGTAATATCATGATATAATGTCATGACATGAGATAATGTCATTAGGGGTGTGAACCTACACTGGTTTGTTATGATTATCATGCCATCGATTCAGTTCAATTTGATGTCTCAGTGCATCACGGTGCATTGACGATGCGACACAATAATTCTTGTATTAAAATGTATAATTTATAAGTATATTTATTTATTATTTGTGATAAAAAAATTTCCTTTAATACAAGCATATATGTACTGTACCTTTAATTTTACCTACTGAAAGAAAACTGAAAGAATTTTACCCGCTGAAAGAAATTTTGAATCTATCAAACAAATCTCAAGTACATGCATGGAACAACATGAACATTTAAAGCAAATAAACTAATGTAAATATTATTTTGCTTGCTTTTTGAGCCTGCGGATTCTTAAACGCCTATGATTGATCAAGCGCTCAACAAAAAAGGCTGCAATTGGCTCTATCTGTCAAAACTCCCTCTGCAGACACGCTCCTGTCTGGATCCACAAGTAATGTTACTGTTGTAACAGCTAATTGATGAGATAAAACGTTACCTGAGAGAGAGAAAGAGAGTTTACAGCTTTCATTTTTTCCTAGCTGGGTTCTGATGTGCTTCCCTGTCAGTGAAAGACACAAGCAGTGAATTGTGCGTAATCTGCCTTTTAAGTAGTTGGAGCATTTTATTTTAAATGACGTCAGCAGGCCTACATAATAACCGGTTATAATTGTTACTGAACCGATACCAAATTGTTTGTGTCTGCATCGCGGTGCATAGAATAAACAATTAATTTTCACAGCCCTCATATATACATAACAAAAAAGTGTGAAACAACTGAAAATATGTCATATTCTAGGTTCATCAAATTAGCCATGATTTGATCAAAATTCATTAGTCACATGAAATGGTCTTCCAACAGTCTTGAAGGAGTTTCCAGAGATGCTTGGCACTTGTTGGCCCTTTTGCCTTCACTCTGCGGTCCAGCTCACCTAAACCATCTTGATTGGGTTCAGGTCCGGTGACTGTAGAGGCCAGGTTATCTGGCGCAGCACTCTCCTAGGTCAAATAGCCCTTACAGCGCCTTGAGGTGTGTTTGGGGTCATTGCCCTGTTAAAAAAAAAAAAATTGGTCCAACTAAACGCAAAACGGATTGAAAAGCATGCCGCTGCAAGATGCTGTGGTAGCCATGCTGGTTCAGTATGCCTTTAATATTGAAAACTCCCCAACAGTGTCACCAGCAAAGCACCCCACACCATTACACCTCCTCCCCCATACTTCACGGTGGGAACCAGGCATGTAGAGTCCATCCGTTCACATTTTCTGCGTCGCACAAAGACACGGTAGTTGGAACCAAAGATCTCAAATTTGGACTCATCAGACCAAAGCACAGATTTCCACTGGTCTAATGTCCATTCCTTGTGTTCTTTCGCCCAAACAAGTCTCGTCTGCTTGTTGCCTGTCCTTAGCAGTGGTTTCCTAGCAGATATTCTACCATGAAGGCCTGATTCACAGTCTCCTCTTAACATTTGTTCTACAGATGTGTCTGCTGCTAGAACTCTGTGTGGCATTGACCTGGTCTCTAATCTGAGCTGCCGTTAACCTGCGATTTCTGGTTGGTGACTCGGATGAACTTATCCTCTGTAGCAGAGGTGAGTCTTGGTGTGCCAGCTCCCCATGTGAGCCAGCTACTTTGTAGCACTTGATGGTTTTTGTGACTGAACTTCCAAAGTTTTTCCAATTTTTCGGACTAACTGACCTTCATTTCTTAAAGCAATGATGACCACTCGTTTTTTTTCTTTACTTAGCAGCTTTTTCTTGCCATAATACAAATTCTAACAGTCTATTCAGTACGACTTTCGGCTGTATCCACCTGACTTCTGCACAACACAACTGATGGTCCCAACCCCATTTATAATGCAAGAAATCCCACTTATTAAACCTGACAGGGCACACCTGTGAAGTGAAAACCATTTCAGGTGACTACCTCTTGAAGCTCATCAAGAGATTGCCAAGAGTGTGCAAAGCAGTAATCAAAGCAAAAGGTTGCTGCTTTAAAGAACCTAGAATATGACATATTATCGGTTGTTTCACACTTTTTTGTTATATACATAATTTCACAAGTTAATTCATAGTTTTGATGCCTTCAGTGTGAATCTACAGTGTTCATAGTCATGAAAATAAAGAAAACTCTTTGAATGAGAAGGTGTGTCCAAACTTTTGGTCTGTACTGTAAATATCAGTCCAACAAACTACTGGTCACAGGTGTTGATTCTTTTTTTTTTTTTCAACCCTACCAATTTATTACTCCCCGTTGAAGTAGCTACCTGATTACCTAATCATAACCTCTCCCCCACACCTAACCATAAAAACTACCAGATTGAGGCTGTGAAATAATTTTAAAGAGGGTTACAATTTAGTACAAAACTGGCAGGAATTAAAGATGGAAGGAGTAAGTCAATAGTGGGCAAGCAAATATTCCGATATCAAGGTAGTTTCTTGATCTTTAACAGGTCAGTGGCTGCAACCATTCAACGCAACCTTCACCCAAGAAGACAGATTCTATGTGAACAAGTATAACATTGTGCAAGTACCCATGATGCTCCGTTCTGGAAAATACTACCTGGCATATGACCCCACATTTAAGGTTGGAATTCTGAAGCTGCCCTGCGAGAACGGCATTGCCATGCTTGTTCTTCTTCCGGATGAAGATGTGGACTACACCTACGTTGATGAATCCATGACTGGTGAAGTGTTTCGTGGATGGGTTGCGAAGCTGAAAAAGACGTGAGTCATGTAGTCAGTCTCTCACATTTTCATAAATCCATGTGTTTTGTTTTTTTAATGACTAAAATCTCCATCAAACTCATGCTGTGCAGCCAAAGTGAACAATCACATCCTGTACTTGACAGTTCATATTTCCCTTTTAGAAACATACAATTTTTAAGACAAATTTCTGTTTATTGCTTAAATATCCATTATGTGTCTCTCATCAGGAAGCTGGAGATTCAGTTGCCCAGATTTTCACTGAAGCAGTCCAATTCGCTCAGTGTGAGTCTGCCGAGTCTGGGTGTTAAAGAGATCTTTGGAAGTACTGCAAATCTTACTGGAATCAGCAGCAGTGAAGGCCTGAAGCTGTCAGAGGTGTGAGGTCTTTCTAATAATACACAAAGAGTGTTGAAGGGTTTTCATGTCATTCTTAATGCATACTGTACGTCTACCAGTTATTTGCACCATAAGTTTAATTAAATGTTTTTAAAGCATCAAAACATATTCCTTTTTACACATTAGAATGTATCTTGTTAATCTTTTATTTTTTTGGATTTGGGTTTGTTTTGAGCAAAAACAAATGATGACTTTCATGTTTTTTTATCATTGTTTACAGAACAAACTCAATAAAATGTCTTTCTGTGTAACATTAGTTAAGATAAAAAAAATCTTCAGGCATTTAAAACGAGAGTTTTTGCAGCATATTACAAGCCTCTATTTAAGTCAACCACAAAACAAAACAAAAAATTTATTTAAAAACTTTATTCTTTGCCATTTCTCAGCAAGATTAAAAATATAATAAATAATAAATATAAAAACATTGTCATGCTGAGTGACTGTGAAACATTATTTCACCAATTTTGACATTTATTTTCATAAATATCAGACACTTTATTTGCATTTATTAGGCTTTCTATGTATTTAAAATCACTTTTTTTTGCATAAACCAATATGGACATTTTGTATTTGAGCCATATATACACTACCTTTAACATGTAAAAAAAAAAAACACCTGTAATATCCCTTTAACAGGCATAGTAACTACCTGGGGTTTGTTTCTGAAAACCTTTGTTAGCCAACTAAGGTCACAAGTTCCGTCGTTACAAACATAGTTTGTTGATTGGCATTTCCCAAATGCATCGTTTCAACGAACATTCGCAAACTACATCTCAAACTTGTATGTTTGTAACTACACATCTGAAGCTATAGTTAGAAACATAGTTCCTGGCTGTGCTCTTTAATATGCTTTCAAAGCATTTTTACAGTTCAGTTTTAGAGATCTTCATGTTTACAATTTCGTAGCCTTCGTATTGCACTTTGAAAACATTAATGTCATTTTGAACACAGCCGTGGTTCATGATGAAAGCTATAGGTGACCTATTATGTAAAAGCAGAATTTATGTTATGTATCCAAAGCATAGCAAACGTTAATGCTTTTAATTTATAGTAGGTTATTTATTAAGTATCTGTACTGTATATGGCATGGGCCTGTTGGTTAGAACATTTCTGCAGTGGTTTGCATGTCAAATTTTAAAAGTAGACTCTTTAAAAAAAAAAAGAATAAACAATTTCCTACTTATAATAATATTAATAATCATCATCATCATCAATAGTATTGTTATTAAAGTAGGGTTTTTCATTGTTTAATAAATATTAAATTCAATTTCTTAATAAATAGCTTAATTATTTATTTATTTATATGATTTATATATGATATTATAGTATGTGTTTGCTTTTGTAAGTGCTTTTATGTTTCAAAATAGAATTTGGAATATTGGAAAGCGAGTGCATGTTTTTTCCAAAACTGATATTGGATTTTTTTTTTTAAATGCATGTTCGTGTAAAACAATATAGTTTGCACAAAGAAATTATAGTTTTTTTTTTCTCTAAAGAGGTTTTTAACACCCCATTTAGAGCATCATTATGCGTGTTTTACGTTATAACTAACGTGGTTCAAACGATGGATCTGCGACAGAGAAACTACAGTTTTGGGAAACACTCGTCACTACATCGTTCTTTTCCCAAATGATGCATCGTACTATGATAGTTTAGCCGCGAGTTACGATGTTAATTGGGAAACGCACCCCTGGTTGATGTTATGTTATGGGTTATCATTAAAACTCAATTAAAGCAAAATTGATTTAAAGTGGTGTCTGGAATAAAATTTAACCAAAGAAAAACATGAAATAATTTTTTCAATGTGCAAGTTCAAGGGAAATTGTGAAATCCTTGCTGAAAAAAAAAAAATCATACTCTTTCTACCATGATGGTTGACATAATTAAAAATAAATAAATATAATGATAAATACAAAATGCACTGACCAATGGCGCTTGATTCCAGGTGGTACAGAAGGTGGCTGTGGATGTGGATGAGTCTGGAGGCTCACTGGCAGAAGCTTCCGGCAATCTCTTCATGAATCCTCTTCCTCCCAGGCTCACTTTCAACCGACCCTTCATTTTTGTTGTCTACCATGAGGTCACAAAATGCATCCTCTACATTGGACGTGTGGTCGACCCAACTAAGAACTAATTAGAGAAACTACCAATGGTGTATACAGGTGTTCTCACTCCTACATCCATTTGTTTTGCGTGAATAACCAAATATTAATAGTGTTTTAAAACAATTAATATCAGTATCAACCTTTTAACTGTTATTAACATTATACTGTGATTTAATTAACATTAAGTAGCAGCATAATATAGTCACAATCCAATGTTTGCTAGGAAATTAAATGAATAGTGTACTTAATGTCAAGTGTAACTAGTAACTTGTTTTTCTATGTGCGCTGTCAGTATTTAAAGAGCCAGTTCAAAAGCAAGTCATTAAAGCACGTCATATTCAACATGAATTTTATTCATTGGGTACTAAGATGTTGGCGTTAATCAATCAGGTGCTGGGTGGCACCAGGCACAATCTCATTGGTGGGATGGGATGGAGAGTTCCAAAACTCTTCAATCATAAAAATACATAGTGCTTCTTTTTCTCTTAGCCACTTCAAAAATATAAAACAGAGAATTTTGCAAAGCATGCTATAATACAAGAAACAAAATAATGAGGCAGTAAATTAAATACATTCAATTACTCCTCAACTCTCGGTTTCATTTTATGATGTATGGTGTGAGATTTTGATTGTTTTTTTTGTATGAAATAAGGCAGAGATGGATCAATGCAGACCTTAATTGATGCCCCAGCACATCTTAAGCCTTTTCTGGGATAGAAGAGAGAATGGACACATCAAAATGGAGGGACACTGCTGTGCTGCTGCTGCAGAATGAAAAGTCTTGTAAAAGGGGCTTTAAGTCAGAAGGCAAAGTGGTAATCACTCTCTCCCAGACTGCATTCCAAATGAATTCGACTTCCGCTGTCTGTCGAACACAAACAGAAAGACAACATAAGATCACTCTTGCTGAATCACACCCGTTCATAATAAAACAAAATTGCATTGCTAAGAAAAAAGAAATGAAAATAAATCAAAACATTGTACAAAACAATTATAAAAATGTATTATAGATCCCTTAAACCAACACCAAATCCTTTAAATGTTCATTATTATTCAGAACAGATAGAAATGTATGTAAAACAAACTGAAATTTTTTTATAATTTTCACCTTAAACTAGAATGATAAAAGCCTAAATAAATTTATTTAAAAGGAACACCTTCAAATATTTGGGCCACTGGAAGTTGAAAAAAATTGTATGCAAAAAAATGTGTAAGTAAGGTTTTGATTCAGCTCTGCATGCGCACAATGAAATAATATAAATATATATATATATATATATATATATATATATATATATATATATATATATAAACGTGTCTGAACAGAATAAAATCATTGTGATAAATGAATAAATAATAATAATAAATAAAGTACTTTGACCTGTAAAATGCCTCTTGTTTTCTCTCAATAGTATGTAATTAATAAATTCACAGTATATTCACGTGATTGCTTAAATAGCCATAGAACTTAACTGTCAAATGTAAAAATGTACATTATATCTTGTGGCAGTTGCCTTAATAATCCAGTAGGCTCAAAAGGGAGCATGTTTGCCCTCAGTTTCAATATCTATATGACATCTATGAACACTACAATTGGAATTCTGCAAGGCTATATAAGCTGTTCCTTTGTTTTTACTATAGGCATAATGACTTGATTCAGATAAGAAATATAATATTGTTTAAAATATGAAGTAATGATGTACTTGTTGTATAGATACACTCATTTGACAATGTGTGCAGATTTTGCAAATGCTTTGCATCCTTGGAGTGAGGTGCAGCATGTTTTAAATAATGAAATAATGAGTTGTATACAGCCGAATACGGCACTTAGATAATAACCCAGGAAGCAAAGAATTCTGGCTGAGATTTAGCATAAAGCTGGCACAGCAGGCATTCAGACCAAACATGGCCCAGGTTTGACAGCAGTCAGGCACCGTCTTTAAGGCGGCACACAATATTTGGGCCAGATGTCAAATGTAGTATTTGGCCCAGATGTTATAATTTGATATGTGGGCCATGTGAGTTTGGCCTATCTTGACCCACATTTAAATTCTTATTTTAAAAAAAAACAAAAAAACAATCAGGTCTCTGCAAGAAAAAGCATGCCCATAGCATGTCTAAAGTGCAATGCTTTATGGATTTATCAATTTCATTGCAGTCGTGACACACCAACATATCTGGCCTAGTTCAGGGTTAGGGATTGTTAATTTGGCTGAGATATGGTCCATGTTTGGCCCTTGTCTGGAAGCCAGACTTGGTCCAGTCATGTACCGTAATTTACTGCAGCATGTGGGCCAAGTAAAAGCTGATTGTGTGGGTCAGAGCTGGGCCAGAGATATTTTGCTAGGTGGGGAGTGGCTGATTAAAAATGGGAGTTTATCAGTCAATTTGAGAAACATACACAGAAAGTTTCCTAGACTGTGTGTCTTTATTCCCGTTACTCCGGTGATCCACAGAGCTGCTGGTGTTGCTGCGGATCAGAACAGGCATGGACGAGGACGATGGGGTGGAGGAGATTGAAGAAGCAACATTAAAGTGGTGGGGTCGCAGGTTATCATCTGGAAAGCAAACAAGTACATAAGTACATGTAAACAACAATATAATATAACAATATAATTCACGAAGAACAATCTCATTAGTTACCATTTAAAGGTAGCATAGGACTCTTTCCTGATCCAGGGCAACTTCCTGAATCTTTCAGTTTTCTAAAGAAAAAATTGTGAGTGTAAATGTTGAAGTACTAGCGATGATGGGTCACAGGTCATGGGTCAAAGAACCAACTGCAGTAGCAACATAAGAAAGCTTAGGGGATTTTGTTACGTACAAGGTTTTGTCTGAGTTTGTCATCTTGGGTGTTGTGGGATGGCCACTGAGAGAACGACTGCGAGCTAGTTTAGCCCTCCGCATCTCCTTCCCTAGAAACAGCAGCAATGTGGAGATGATAAGCACCGGACCATTACAAAACTTTAAGAAAATGTTTAACATTTTTATGTCACTGGAAATTTATCAAACTAATAACAAAAACAATAATAACAAAACGATTACATAAGTAGCTTTCTGCTACACGCTACAGATTTTTTTGTTCACAAAAGTTAAACAGTATTTCTGTGAAATATTTTTATTGTAAAAAATATTTTTAATGTTTTACTATTTTGTTAGTTTTCAAAATGGAATATTCAGCATTTCCGAAAATATAATAAAATGTTATAATAATTCAAGCATGTTCCATCATGTTCCTTTACTTGATCATTAAAAGGATTGTTCACCCAAAACTGAAAATTGTGTCATCATTTTCTGACCCTTCGCAAATCTGTTTGAGTTTCTTTTTTCTGTTGAACACAAAAGAAGATATTTTGAAAAATGTTGGAAACCTGAAGCCTACTTACAAAGTCAATGATTACATGTTTCTAACATTTTTCAAAATGTCTTGTTTTGTGTTCAACAGAAAAAAGAAAACTCACAAAGATTTAAAACCACTTTAGTGTAAGTAAACAGTAAGTAAATATTCATTTTTGTGGGGACTATCACAATAAATAAAATGTTTATCTGATTAAAATTATTCCAAAAAAAAAAAGAAAAATCTAAAATTGACAAATTGTTAATTGACAAAAAATTAATAATAATTAATGTACACAATGATTCTAACCAGAAGAAGAGGACGATGATGCTCCTGATAATGTTCCTGACATTCCTTTACTACCAGATAGGCCTGATTTGCTCTCTCGTTCTGGAACACAACAATATAATAAACCACAACATAAACACACATATGCTGTACAGTACATTTAGGAAACTTACAATAAGCTACAACAAAAAGCACAAAGTAAACTTCTTAATGAAGTGGTGCATAAATAAACATCACTCACGTTTCTTCTCAGACTGTTTATCTCCAGCTAGTTTTGCTTCACTCTGCTGTCTTTCCAACAGTTCCTGTGTTAACAGCAGCACAAATACAGTAGCAACAAATAGTTCACATGTAGGGATCTAGAACATATACAAGTATAGTTCACAGACAAAAAATAAATTCTGCCATCATTCACTCATTCTCCACTTGTTCCAAACCTATTTGAGTTTCTGGTAACACTATTTTTAGATGTCCGTGCTACACAAGTTCTACAGTATGTACTTACTATAGTGTTACAGGTTTGTGATTAGATTTTGCTTATTTAAGAAGCTGCAAAGATGTGTTTCACAGACTGCTTCGGAGGATCGTTTCCATTCAACTTCTTTTTGCTTACCTACCGCTTATATATTATTTTTATTTTATTTTGGAATTTGATCCTATGTTATCTGTTGTTTTGAACTATATATGTTATGTTAGACATTTAATTTACATATATTTAACCTTTAAATAAATATATTTTTGCATTTTCATTCTATTTAGTTTGGTGCTCTTCATTTGTTGCATACCTAAGCCGGCAAGCAATAATAGTAATTACAGGTAATTATGGTTGATTGCATTCAGCTAAACCTAATCCACATTCTAACCCCAACCATATAGTAAGTACATATAAAAGTACTTGTAATGAATTAATATTATTTATTAGTCGCTGAATTAATAGTTACTCTGTAACAAAGACATCTGAAAATAAAGCATAACCGAGTTTCTTTCTTCTGTTGAACACAAAAGAAGTATAACTAAAGAATGTTGGGGAAAAGCAGCCACTGACTACCATAGTATATTTTGTTCCGACTATGGATGTCATTGGCTGTTTTTCTCCTATGTCTTCAAAAGAAGAAAGAAATTAATAGAAGTTTAGAACCATTTAAGTCTGAGTAAATGGTGAGGAAATTTTCATTTTTGGGTGAACTATCTCTTTAAAAATCTCATTTTTGTCTTGTTGGTACTGAAAATAGCATGTGACCGCCCACATTTACACATAAGGAAAAGCCTATTTGCTTTTTCAAAATGGTTTTGGTGGAAAAAACCATAACCATAATAATAATTTGCCTTCAATTTCAGTAATTAAAAATCTCTCTCACCATTTCAAGTAAAAGGGTCTCCTCCTTCTCCTTTTTCTGATCCAAGAGCTCTCTTTCATGCCTTTTATGATACTACAAATATAAATATGGGCAAAGTTCGCTCACAGTGCTCAAAAGAAATAACTATGGTGTACAGAAACTGTCATCATAACCAAATATAAAAAGTCACAGATCCTTCATACCGGCTCTGTAATGTCCATTTTGTCCAGCTCCAGAACTGTCTGAGGGAAAATAATAAAACAGTTTTTGCAATATCATTACTTGTAATTAGGGATGCTCCGATCAATCGGCCAGCGATCGGTATTGGCTGATAATTACATTTCATGTCTCGATTGGTACTCGCTAATCTGGCCGATCTCATGAACCGATCGCAATAGTTTGTTTACGAGTTTACAAGAACTTATAAGAAGTGTTTTCTACAATATTACAAATTCATTAAAACCTGACTAGAAATATTAGGGAAATAAAAATGAGACATTCTTCCATCATTTGCAATGTTTCCATATTGCTTAGTTAGTCATTTTTCTTACCAATTTTTTTGTATCTGCTTTCTTAATTATTTTCTGAAAAGCTGCTTCTGACCATGACAGGTACACACTAAATGCTTTTAAGAGACATTTAAGGAAATATATGCAACATCTTGAATTTATTCTCTTTCGTAAGGCAAGATCTTCATTTAGGTATCATACTTGGAGGTAAAATGTGCTTTAGGCATTATAAAGCTTGAAGCATTAGAATCGGTACTTGGTATCGGCCAATCACCATGACAAGGAATCAGTACTCAGAATCGGCTGCAAAAATCCTGATCGGAGCATCCCTACTTGTAATAAATTGAATCACCTTCAGTATACTGTACAGAATACATTTTACAAAAGAGTGTTTGTGAATAAAATCCAATAAAATAAAATAAAAAAAATCCAATAAAATAAAATCTCACTTCATAAGAAATCCATGCAATCTGATGTCTGGTGTGCAAACATGTTGCACTGAAACCCGGCGCATTTATATTAAATTAAA